GGCCATGCAAGCTAACCCTTTGTTTAGAGTCCTCGGGCCTTGTGGCAATATCTCGCCTCAGTGAGACTGCTGTAAGCTACACAGCCTGGCCTAATTTCATCTTCAATCAGTGTCTGCAGAGCCATCAGGGATAACTAGCAGCTCTTGCTCAAACTACATTTCATACATATCAATTTATAATACTTTGCTCCATGATGTTTAATTCTGTTTAATTTAGCACAAATGTTGGCTGATTGAATGCAATGGATGGTAAAAATTTAAGTTAGTGTACAGTAGCTGATCAAGAAAAAGATGTCAAAAACAACCAAAACAGATGAGATGGAGAGGAATATTAGATTACCACCTCCAGTACAAGCATCCCATGAGATAAAAATAGCCTGTGGATGAACATTCCTGTCCAATGCAACGTTTGGAGTGTATTATTAAGGTCCATCCATCCATCCATCGTCAACCGCTTATCCTGCGTACAGGGTCGTGGAGGGGGGAGCCAATCCCAGCTGACATCGGGCGCAAGGCAGGGTACACCCTGGACAGGTCGCCAGTCCATCACAGGGCGTATTATTAAGGTGTAGCATTCAAGTTTCCTCCTCCTCACTGCCAATAAACTTCTTTCATATCGCAATTGTGGCCATTATGGTAGCAAATCATCCACTATCTAATAGTAAATATGCAAATATTCTTATAACAGAGCTGATATTCACATCTTTCCTTTGCTATAGCATGTTGTCCACACTTTCAGATGTAGAGCCCCATTGTGTAGTTTTTAATTTGTTACATCTGCTTGGACAAGTTGATTTGGCTCTAACAAATGAAACCTGATGAGGAAAGCTCTGTATGTGTTTCACCTCCTACTGTGAGACGCCAAAGAGGGGCTGAGCGTGATGAAAAATGGATGTGCTCTTTCTGGGGAGCAGTCATCCAAGTGTCCTGCAGCACACCTTATGCACTGTAGACACTCGATGTCCCCTCGCTCCCCTGCTACTAAACCCTCAGCAGGGGTACACAGCCCTTCAATCCCCTCGGTGGGGAGTCACCTATGAAACCCTGCACCCACGCATACCACATGTCCCAGATCTTTCAGCACGGTTAGCTAAGCTGCCACTGTTATGTAGCCATTATCCATTTAACTTCTCTCTGCACGGTGTCAGCTTCCTTTTGTTAAAACTCATTTAGGTACAAAGTATTATTACACCCCGTGGAATAGGATAGCTTTCCAAAGCCTTCAAGGGAAAGCATTTATCTCATTGATTATGTATCATTGTTAGAGGAAGACTGTACTTGTGGTATCTTCTGTTACAATCTGTGTTGGTTTTTCACATAAAGGGGAACAACTTTTTTTTAATGAAAATGCGCTTGTGCTAAAGGCCTTTGCAGTGATCACGTAGTCCACATTGTTCCACTACTTTTAATTTCCAAGCATACGCATAAGCGGCTTAACTTTTTGCCTTTTCAGTGAAAAGAGCCAAAGGCTTCCTCCAATCCTTTTTTTTAAGATTTCCCACTGCACTTATTGATGGGAGGGGGGAAAATGTGATATTGCAATTCCTTTAAAAACAGGCATGTCTGCACCTCATAATTTCAACCAATATGCCTGAGTGACAGCATCATCTGCGGGACAAATGGGGAAATAGAAAGAGGGAATGCTAGAAAACATATCTGAGCTAATGCTGGTTTATTTTATGTTCCTTTTAAACATGCCTGTGTGATTTGTGACATACAGAAGGTATGTGGAAAACGGAGGGAGGAAGGATTAGCTGATTTGCATGGGGACTGATAACTTGAAATACAGTTAGGGGAGGAGACATCGAATACATCCACTTTCCACCCATAAGCTTCAATTTGTGGAGCGCCATGAATCAATATTGCCATCACTCTCAAGGATGCCATGAATCTTTCATTTCCCTATAGCAGGGAACGTGTGGATTGTGTCCTCCATGCCAGTTTAATGCATTTACTCTGTAAGCTGCTCCTTCCCAGTCACTGCACTGTCAGCCCTGACATCTTTATTCATGAGCACACATGCTCACTGTAAATTCTTCTGAGGGGTATTAAGAGTTGTGTCTTGAAACCGTGATGCATACCAGGGAGGATTGTGAAGAGAGAGAGAGAAAAGATTACGTTGAAAGGTTTCTGTAGCTTTCATCCGTCACAACTTAAACATGCAGGCACATGGCATTTCAATGGAGCGTATCACATGCATGTACGATGGGGGGAAAAGAAGTAGCTTTAAAATCCTACTTGTCAAAAACCAAGCTGTTCGTGCTCTTACAAACAAACCCTTTAATTGTCTTGCATGTTTCTGAATTTTTTTTAGCATGTGTAGCAGCTGGCTTCTTCTTGATTAGCAAAAAACAAAACAAAAAAAACAAATAGTCTGATTACTGCTGATGGTAGATTAAACTCGTGCCTGGCTCACCCTATACCCTGAAAATGCAATTGCATAGGGCCCCACAAATCTATTTTTAATTCTTTATTTTTAATAAAGACAGTTTCTGGGAAACATAAGGCCAATCAGTGGCTCTGACCCAGAACAGCCCCCCACTCAAGAGTGAGGCCAATCAAAATCTCTTTTGGTGGCAGGTTGAGCACTGGGTTATCTGACTGCATCTCCAGAGAGAGAACAGAGAGAGAGGATCGTGCATGTGTCCGCATAGAGTGCCGGTGTAACAGCTCACGCACGGAGAGATCTGTCATGGATGGCAGAAAAGAGAGAGACAGAGAGAGAGACAGAACCTCTCAAAAGAGATATATATTTTATATTTCACCGGCAGAGTAATCACTAGGATAAACGGTCAGGTAATTTAAAGGCAGCAGTATTACAGAAGTGTCCCTGACAATATGCACAAATGAAGAGATTTCACCTGCTCTCACGCTGCATTCTGTCAACAGGTCTGCAGGCACTGCCATCAACAAGCAGCAGACCATGCATGTGTGCTAAATAAATATCTCACAAGCCCCCCAACATCAACCTATCCCAAATACACTGAAAAATATATTTTGACATTTTACTTACATTGATCTACAGTTGTATTTGCAGCATCTATAATACTGCAAATACAATTAATGCCTTACACGACCATTCAGATTATTAGTGCAAGAACTTGTTTGATTTTTTCTGACATTTTTTGAATTGTTGGATGGGTTGTATTGGTTTTCTGCCAACATGCCTGTCGTCAAGAGTTGTATCACCCTCATTTTTCATTGACAGTTTAGAAAGTCTCTTTGCCTTGAAGATGTTGCTGAGACCTCTGATTTAAGGTCTGAGGGCATAATTCTTAATGAACATCTATTGAATTAAGGCTTGTTTACACCAAATATGTGTTTTGTGTATTAATGTCATGCAAGGATTATGCCCACTATAGAGTGCAGGAATGTTGTTGCCACATTATGGTTGTGCAATATCAAAGGGGGTGTCATGTTGTCAAATAATAGTGTTATATAGTTACATATATAGTTAACTATAAATATAGTTTACAGCTTGATTTCATAGTTCTCCGTTCTAGGCAAAGTAAAGAGGAAAGTAAGAAAAATCTTGCTTAGGGCCCTGTGTTGTCTAGAGCTGGGCCTGATTAAACATGTATCCATGGCCTAGAATCTAATCAAACTCACAATTAAAGATTAAAGCTCTGGCTCCTTATGATTAAATAAAACATTACATGTCTTTTTTTCCTGCTTAGACTCCTCATATACCGCTGTTTGTACATGCCTTGGAAGATAGCACAGAGGAAAGAATATGAGCTTTAAGCGACAATATCGCACACACAAATCTTGGCCTCTGTAAGTACACTGGCACTGTTCTTGTTGTGCTGCTCTATAAGAGGAGTACTTTCAAATTGACTCTGTACAGCTATGTCACGCTGACCATAAAAAGCTCATGTGAAAGTATGGCAGGAGGCGGTCAATCTGGAGATTTATGCCACTGAGCGGTAACATCGTATTAATTCTCTCTGACTCAGGATTGCTGTCTCTGCAGTGCACCATTCATACCAGGACAAGGGTTGGCCAAAAATGAAAGACAATCACCAGGCTAGCATTAAAGGGAGATCATTTTTATGTAAAGCCATAACCTATCACATGTACAGCAATTTAATGGATTGGTGGATTGATCCATTGTCTAGTAAAGCTGCTGTAAAACTTTGCTGCAAACCACAAAGTGGCTAAATGAATCAAATGCACAGCGAGTGTATTTTACTTTTTTTTGGTCAAGTATTAAAACATAATGCATTTACATTTACAGGACAGCAGGTGATCTCTGTCTCTCCATCATCCAACACTCTGTCCATCAAAGCACAAAAACAGTGTGTCATTTTATCATTATCTGGCATGACACCTACTGTTTTGTCCTCTTTCTTTGTTAAATCCAAAACTAAATAAAAGTGTACACCATCATCTTTTTTGTGTCAGCCAGGTACAGAATGCTGTGAATCAAGGTAGGAACCCAAAATACGTGTCCATTCTAATGTGTATCCTTACCTCCTCAGATGCAGCTTTTGACTGTTGTATTTGACATACCAACTGTTAAACTCACCTGTAATGCATTCAGCCAAACACTAATAACATTATTATTATACCATTTTCACATCATACAATTCTTTAGATTAGCATATCATATGCAGCAAGATTTTTTGCTAAGTTAATGTTTGTGTTTGGCTTCACAAGGACTCTCATTTGACATCTCTATTCATAACCCCTGCTATGTTAGTGGAGGATCAAAATTATCTGTATATCTTGAATTTCCCACACAAACTTACAGTTATTCAACTTAGTTATTTTAGAGCTGACTGCCCTTACTGTTTTCCTCTATCAGGGGTTAATGTCTGAAGCACATCTTGTAATTGACTCTGGCAGGTTACACACAGACTGACAGGCCACATCATGGGGTGCACATTGTGAGGAGCAGCAGTATGTGCTTTTCTCAGGAGCACCATGTCACAAAAGAGCCCTCTCGGCTTACGGAGATGCTGTGACAGCTGAAATTTTGCGCCAGGTCACAGACTTACCATCCTTACGGTAGTAGGTCATCTCCACCTTGCGCTCCTCGGACCCGAGCATAGCCTGGGCCACCTGGCCGATGGCCTCTTTGTCGGTCAGGCCACCGTGGAGGAAGTCACAGGTGCATGGCTTCTGCATGATGTCCGATCTTGAGAAGCCTGTCATCTCGCAGAAGCCATCGTTGCAGTATATGATTGCACAGTTCTCCACCCTGGCATTGGCTATCACAAATTTCCGGTCTGCATTAAAAGAAAAAGTATTAACTGTGTTCTTCCTGCTACATCTGAATTCAATCAAAGTGTTTAAAAGCATTTTCACTGAGGCTGTATAGAATAAGATTTTGTTCAGTAAACCTCACATCAGTCGTCTTCTAAAGGAAGACAGCCACCCTGAAATGCTTCTTATGGGAAGGAACAGTTTTATCACAGGATAAACTTTTCTTATTTATTATTAATCACTCATCCTTTTTGTCTTAATTTGTCAAAATATTTACTCTGTAGTATTATTTTATCTGGTAGCAGCAATTGAACATCAAGGAGATAGGCTACTTACTCTGACCCTCGAATTTCCGAATAATCAGTCCAAGGAATGTGTTTTGTGGCGCAACGTGACCTCTTCGTACAGGCATGTTTACACAATATCCCACGGGCTCCGGTAAAAGCTCCTTTACAAGTAAATCCCGAAGTTACAGATGTTGGCTCTTTGTGCTGTTTCCCTCACCACGGACCATAGCCGAAGCGCCGAGCACTTTAAATGACCTTCCCACTTCGCCGCGGAGTTCTTCAGCCCGCTTGTGTGCCAGAGCAGGTGAATGCCTCCTCGCCGAAACGCTCGGAATCGGGGAGGATTGCTTGAGTTAGATTCGCTTCGCAAAGCATTTCGCGTTGAGGATGCGTGCGATCCTGCCGTCCTCTGTCGTGGTGTGCTGGGCGCATACAGCGGACAGTGGCTGATAGAGCCAAGGGGAGTGACGTTGCTCCCAGGGGGCTTAGTTCTCTCCATCTCGGGTAACGATAAGCCCCAGCCTTGTGCACCGACACTGAGCATTATCGGAATATTTGGAATTTTATGCCTTCCAATATGCTGCACTGTATGAAACACATGTAGCGTTATACGACAGTAAGCTTTCAGTAAAGAGTGATAAAGTGCAGTAGGCTGTGCTATAGCCACCCACAATGGTGCTTTCTCAAGTGGTTTCACTAAATGAACGCACTGCTTCACTCTGAAGGCTACTCTGAATTTATTGAAAGTAGTAGGCTATATCTACACAACTAGTTTTACATAGTACAAAGTTTTACATGTACTGTTGTATTTTTTTTACATAGGCCTACATAGCCTACATTATAAATATACTATAGGGCTATAGTAGGCTACTGTCACTTGTACTTTGGTTCTATTCTACAGCCTATTTAGCTTTGCGTCTAAGTGTAGTTAGCCTAAATATAGGCCTATGAATATTGTTTAGCCTAAACATTGAGGTTAATGGGTAGGCTAATTATTAAAGGAAGAGCGCGACATGAGAGATACACGCTTGCTTGCTTTCTTGCCAGCTCTCTGATTGCCATATGTCATTACAAAAAGTCGAAGCGAAGGGGCAGTCAATGAGGCAGGGAGCTGCACGGTTATATGCACTCCCCTCCGCTGATTTTAAAATAAATTCAAAAAATATTTAGCGTTCTGCTAATGCTACATCCATGTGAGTGCTCTCATTAATAAATGTATTCTTTGAAACTGTAGCCTTGTTGTTATTTAGCCTTATTGATATTTAGGCTATTGCATAGTTAAATCGATGATTTTTTTTAGTGAAAACATTTTTTAACAATTCAATTCAATTCAATTCAAATCAGCTTTATTGCCATGAATGTATAATAACAATATTGCCAAAGCTACATATAAACATAACAACAGGTCACTTCATACGCAGGCATTTTGTCCAAAATGATGGGTTGTGAGTCATAATCAATGAGAAGCCCATTCTCTGTTTGGGTAGTGGAACACAGACACAGACATAGCTACATCTAAAAAAATATATATAACAGAAAAGGATAGTTTTCCTTTATCTCATACCAATAGCTCTGTCTCAATGGTCTAATCTGTAACATTTCTAGCTCTCCCTTGCACTTAATTTATTCTCAAAAATAAGCAGCAAAGTGTGTCCATGATCAGTTCAATACCCACAGCTTTTAGTTTTCAATTATGGGAAGATTCCATATTTTACCAGATGGTTGGCAACACCTAATGCTAAACTAAGCTAAGCCAATTGGTTGTTGGCTGTGTCTTTATTGCAAGGACAAACATGAAGGTGGTATCAATCTTCTTATGACAAGCAGCAAGAAAGCAAAATACAGTTCTTAAAATGTCAAATACATCTAATGTAATGACATACCAGCAATGTCAATACTGTTTATTTTGAAGACAAAATTGGCTTAGGGCATAGGCATACATCATTTGCAGAATAGGCCTTCTATGTCAGTGTTGCTTATGTCAAATGTCGACATATAGATGTATGATTAAACTAATTAAAATAAATGTTTAACAAAGCATAACTTAACTTGTACATTCTAAATTATTTGTTAGTTTATATTACACATCTCTGAAACTATCAGAAATGTATCATTTACTGATGTTCAGTAAACATGTTGCACTGATAAAATGCCAGTGGCAGTGGAGTGTTTTCACACTTTACACAAGTTCTACACAAATTTACCCCCGAAAAAAACAATTCAAAGCCCCATAATACTGTCAAAGTGTTTCCACTCTACCTGAAACAATCTTTTCTTAGGACTGTGTGGATGTGGACAGATCGCCTGCCATTTCCCCAACTCTCTCGGTAGTTGTGTTACACCTGTAAGGGCGGCACACATATTACAAATTCTCACCGTAACAATTCTTAATATATGCACTTCGATCACCTCATATTGTTCTCAGCATAGATTGTCCCAACACTTGTTCAGATTCGTGGGGCTGATAAGAACCAGTTCAGTTACTTGACTGCTAAGAGCTCGTTAAAGTTGCTATCCATGCTGATGAAGGTGATGATGAAATCCTGATTAGATTTATATTTGGCTATGTAGACTAAAATCTCTCAACAATTGCATTTTTCTAGAACTATGTAGAAAAGAAAACAGGAGTTAAAAGACTTGTGCCACTCCTTAGGGGTCAGTTCAAGCATAGCTCAACTGTCTGGCTGATGTGTTCACTGTCACTGGTTACCATGAACACTGCTGAGAAGAAGAAGAAAGCCTATATACAGTACAGAATGTATAGAGTACCTTTTATAATGGAAGTGCTATGTTTAATGTAAGATACTACATGTTATTGTGGTTAGCCATTTTATTGGATGAATCAGTTAGTTTTTACAGGCACACTAGATAATTTTTGGGGCTGTTGTTTCTGGACTTCTGAAAAGGGCTTATTTAAGTAATAGTAAATCTATTTATAAGTGAAATACATCAAAGGCAACATTTCAGCATATTTAAGCATTTCCTGTGAACAGTTTTTAGTATGGTTATTTCAGCTGAAGTGGTTTCACCGTACTTTTTAGGTTATTCATAAAATAAACTGCATATGTTGGATAGGTTTTTTTCTTTATCTGGGGCATCCCACATTTTGGTGTACGTTTCTTTCCATAAAAGTCAGCATGAGGCGAGGTGAGTTAGACTGAGGCGCTGTCCATGGTCCTGCAGTTTCCACAGCCCTCTCGGGATCCTTTGGGAGCTGGGGAAAGGCTGGTATACTTCACAAATGTGCAATCACCTGCTTGCAGTCACACAAGTCAACACAAATGTACAACAATGTTCTATTCAAATGACTTTTTTTCTCTGTCATTCATGGGATTTTCATGAATGGATGCATGTAAACCACAGAAATAAAAGTTTGGCTAATTTGTGAAGACTACAGCCAACAACCAGGAGGTGAAAAATTTAAAATGTGAGACTGAGACTGAGAGAACACATTTTAATTAACACACATACAAACTTGATCTTATCAAGAGATCATACATATTTTATGAACATTTAAGATCACCTGTGTATTTGTCATATGTCACCACCCAATGTGTGACGCATACATACATTCATATGAGCCTATGTTATAAAAAAAGGTCCTATTGTTCAAGACTTGATGAACCTTGGCAGGTGTAATATTTTGTTGCCTTGTACTGTACTCCCTGGGAGCTTGTGTGTAGCTGCAGGTGTGTGTCACAGGGTGAAAAAATACTCCAGGATTTCATTTTTTTTGTCTTTTTTTTTATTTGCCTACATTTAGAAGATTGGGGCAAAAGCTTGCAGCAATATCTGTTATCTTGTTTTGCACTGCTCTGGGAAGAGTTCACTTTAAAAGTCAGCTTGGATAGTGATTATGGGACTTTTCAAGTAACATGCAAAATAATCTTGGAATGCTTTTCCTCTTGTACCCGTAAACACAGCGCTTCCCAGGCCAGTGCTTTGTCTACTGTATATTATTAAATCACAGTTGCTTTAAGCCAATCTGCAGCTCATATTATCCATTACCCAACAACACAGCTACAGTTGAACCTTTCAGAGGACATCCATTACTCACAAACAATTAAGTTAGAAAATCATGACCTGTGTTTTTGCCCCTATTGTTTGTTTAGCTTATTATTTTAGGACGAAAATCCAAATAATTACTTACAGTATTATGACTTGTGTGAGAAATGCATCTCACTTCTAGAAACATACTTGATTAATACTGGCATATACGCTGACTGGTAAAAGCAAATGGTAGCAATGGGTGGGTGAGGGGTAATACATCCTGAGAGCTACACACAAGAAGAACAATATCCCATGGAGAGCTGTGTGCCCTTGGGTAAAGGCATACTGTAACGTGCAACTATTCCAGCATGCTCTCTCATCTCACAGTGCATCTGCACCATGCATGTGACTTACACTTGAAAGAAAGACATCTTATTCTGTCAGTGCTATGTTCTATCTTTAATAGTTCATACAGTGTATTGGTTTGACTTTACATTCTTTAGTTATCTTTAGATAGCTATTACTTAAAGTAATAACTATATGTGCTGAAATTTGAGAGGTTTGTGTGTGTGAAAAGTATTATACACAGTATGATGTAATCTTTAGAGACAGCTTTAACTACTATATATGAAATGACAGTTATGCAATTTACAGTAAAGAGGATAGAAGTTGGGATCAGCATTCTGATGAACGGACAGCACTTATGAGGAATGAAATTAAGTGAGTGAAACCCCAAACCCATACCACGCAGGTCTTCTAATGTTGATGTTAAGAGAGAATTTACTCTAATGGCATGGTACCTGATCTTTTATCTTCAAATGGTGCACCTCAAACAAGATGCACGAATGCACCAAATCTTAAATCAATGATAGTTTGTAGTGTGGTAGACTGAACAAGGTGTTGGTCTGTTGGGTTACAATAGTTTAAGCTTTGAGTAATTCCAAAAGGGAGGATGGTGATTTAGTGAGGAGAGGGCACCCACATTCAAACCTCCGTGCCAGAAAACATTCATCTTTTGAGCAACAAAGTGAATGTCTACGGATTGCCATTTGACAATTGAGTTCAACAACGCGCATGAAGGTCAACCTTGTGTCATATTACATTACACTACATTACAACTGACTTACATTCTTCAATGAATCATGGGATACATTTTTTTTTACAGTAAAAAAGCTTCAAAGGATTCCAGCACTAACAATTTCTGGATACTGTATGTTTGTTTTGACAATTGTGCTGCAATTCATTCATTCGGTCACTCATTCATTCACTCATTCCACATAATCTCTGAGAATTTAGAGCAATTTCAAACAGCTGCAGCCACAGCAGCATCCACTGTCCAGAGCCTAATCCAGGTCTCACGACACTATAGCTCTCTCTCTCTCATCCCTTTTACTCCCTCTTCTACTGTGGCCCATACACGTACACCCGTGGAGCACAGTTGCAGAGCTTACTCATTGTCCATATAAACCATTACGGCCTTGTCTCTGGGAATAATCCACTAGTACAAAACACTAGAGTGCTATTGCTGCTTTTGCTGCTGTGCCTCACCCCACTGCACACATTCTCCACCATCTGTCCTCAATGAGAAAAAATGGAGCAAAAAAAAGAAAAAAAAGGGCCATGCACTCCACTTTTGGTTTAGTACGGGACTTCACAATATCATGTAATCTACCAGAGGTCAGTGCCTTGCCCTGTAGGCCCTACTGAGAATGTTAGCCCTGTCACATAGGGTGAAAATTAGCTTTGTGAAAGTGTTTCTAAAAATTACATTCAAAATAAGTAAAATGCTCAATTAAAACATTAACTGTTATATGTGTCCTTGGGCCTTGGACACAAAGATTGTTTTGAACCCTATATTACATGTTTCCATTAATTTACATGTTCAGAAATACTGCAAGGTCTGTTTCCTGTGTCACCAATGTGAGGAAACAGTCTCTAGGGACAAGCCCCATATGTTGCCACCTACACATAGGCTACAAAGTCATCTGACAGTGAACCGCCACCTGTGTGGCTTTCTTTGACCTTTGCCTGTCCAGGCTGTGACTGCTGATTAGGCATCTCCTGTAAGTCAGCCATCCATTGTTGTATATCAGGTTGGTAGTGGAAGGAGAATTAGTCCTGATGCATTGCAAGCTTACACAAATTCTGCTGACAGTCTGAAAACTGTTTAGAGATTACATAGATTTGGGGTTGAAGCGTCAAGCAAAATAAACCTACAGGAAAT